CCCACTCAAACCAGGCGCTCTGCTTTTCTCTCTTTCATTGAGCCTTCCCTAAAGATTTCATGTGAAAATAAGGTTCTGCTGCTTTTAAAACAACAACAAAAGGATTTGAAAAATCACTGTGTTAGACCATCTACCTGACCTAGCAAGGAAGTTTTATAACATGTTATATGTGATGTGTCATGCCACACACATCTGTTGTCACCTTCTCACCACTGCCAGATAATGCAGTCTCTCTTTAAGCCTGTTTTCATGAAATGCGGTGAATATGTTTGGCTATCTCTACAAATCTCTGGACTCAGTTTCCAACACATAGCCCTTAACCATGATGAAAAGCATTCTAATTGCAGATGAAAAAGGTAAAACCATATGGAGTTATTTAGTCCAGTGATCTTCAAATAATTAGTTTTTAGCAGTGGAATTCGTTTTTCAAATGAGATCTGACATGAAGGTGTCAAAAATTAAAGTGGTCTTTATTTTCTTCTTCGTACCTTTTTCCTTATATTTTTCACATTTCCTAGTATGAACATTTATTGATTTTAAGATCAGAAGATAATGTTTTTTAAATTACTTGGCTGTTTGGGAAAACTGAATTGTTTCATGATAACAAGTTTCAGGGACTAGCACAGATTGAAACTGTGGGCTCCCTCTGTTGTAGTACCCCTGTTGACCTTTTCACAACTAGGGATTACTAAGGCACAGGGTGACCATGACTTTTTCACCATAAAATTATATGATGACAGCAGAACCTTACTGACAAACAGATGTTTTTCCCAAGTGGTCCTTTTCTTAATGAAATGGTTGCTTAGAAACCAGACCATAATAATAACTTTTCTATATTTAGTTTGTAAAGTGATTCAGTTTGCAAAATTATTAAGTCAGAGAATACTAATTAGATAAAACTGAACATATCCATTATTTCTTGTCTTGGAATTCAGCAACCAAATGGTTAAATTAGTAGCTAAATTTCATCCAGATGTGTCTATCCAGATGTTATGCATAACAAGGACATACAAGGAGAACGAAGGTCCTAGAGCTGCCCTGCTCTGCTCTACACTGTTTCGCTAGTGGCACAGTGTATTTGATCTTTCATCAGTATATATTAGAAGCTGAAACATGTAACACTTATTAGGTTGCTGAGAGGATCACTTAGGTGAGCGGGTCAAAAATTACATGTGAAAATGTGAAAGTAACTTCAAGTTAAGCTCAGTGAGACAGCAGTGTAAAGGAAGGGCTGAGTAGTGAAGATACTTGTTTAGGATGACAAGTGATAAATGGAAAATCTGACATGCTAACTATTACTAACAACAAAGAAACCTTAACATGCTCCGTGTTTGTCAGGTGAATTAAAACCTTGAATCTTACATTCAAACTAGACAAAATCTAGAAGAAAATACATTTCTGTTTTCCATTTCCAGTAATGGTGAAATAGCTCAGCTGAAAACAACTATTACACAGGGTAACATATTTAAAACATTTTAAAAGCATTAAAGAACTAACAAGAAAGCAGAGAATTACCAAGCCAACATCTGAAGAGACAGCCAGAACCCTGGAAGATAAACTGAGTTTAAGAGCCTGCATTTGCCCTTGAGGGCATCTGCTGAAATTAAGCTGTGAGTATCAAGGCCTTGAAGGGCAAGCTGCAGAAATGAAAGCCCAGACCCAACTTGGAGCAAGGAGTCTAATGGAAGACCTCCAGCGTTCAGCTTAGACCTCAAGGGAGTGTACCTTCAGGCGAATCACAAGCAAAAAGGCTCCCCTCCACCTCAGCCCCAGGGACTGGGAGGAGCATTGTCTGGGCCTGAAGTAGAGCAGGAGGGAAGAAGGAAGGAAACCCTCTCCCTGGGAGATTGTAATCACTGAATGGACCACCTCTCCTGCAGATTCACATTCTCAGGATTCAGGACGTGTCAAGCAGGAAATTAGAGTTTGAACTGTTTCTATACTGGTGGCATCTATGGGTGTCTTGCAGAAATCAAAGCATATCTCCTATGGAAGAAGGCACCTTCACCCTAGACCCCCAAAGAACCTCCACAACAATTTTTAAGTTTTCATTTCTATTTTAAATATTTTAATAATTAAATTTTATTATGGTTATATATATAACATAAAATTTGCCATTTTAACAATTTTTTTTAATTTTATTTTTTTTACTTTTTGAGGAAGATTAGCTTTTAGCTAACATCTACCGCCAATCCTCTTCTTTTTTTGGTTGAGGAAGACTGGCCCTAAGCTAACATCCGTGCCCATCTTCCTCTACTTTGTATGTGGGACACCTGCCACAGAATGGCTTGCCAAGCAATTCGTAAGCCCGCACCCAGCATCTGAACCGGCGAACTCCGGGCCACCGAAGTGGAACATGTGAACTTAACCACTGCCCCGCTGGGCCAGCCCATAACAATTTTTAAAAGTACAATTCAGTGGCAGTAAATATTCACAATGTCGTGTCACTCTGTCTATTCCTGAAACTTTTTCATCACCCCAAACAGAAACTCAGTAACCATTAAGCAATAACTCTCCATCTCTCCTCCATAATAATTATTTAATTAATAAGTATTGTACATTTATGTACAACTAGTACATGGTCACAAATAACCAAAGACGTGGAAACAAAGTCCCAGAAGACTTTCTTGAAAAATTGTTTATTTATTCATATTTTTGAGGAAGATTAGCCCTAATCCTCTTTTTGCTGAGGAAGATTGGCCCTGAGCTACGTATTCCTTTTTAAAGATTTTATTTATTTTTCCATCTTCTCCCCAAAGCCCCTCAGCACATAGTTGTATATTTTTAGTTGTGGGTCCTTCTAGTTGTGGTACGTGGGGTGCCACCTCAGCGTGGCTTGATGAGCAGTGCTAGGTCCATGCCCAGGATTCGAACCAGTGAAACCCTGGGCCACTGAAACAGAGCACTTGAACTTAACCACTCGTCCACGGGGCTGGCCCCCCCACATATTCTTTATCTAATCATCAGTCAATGGGCACTTGGGTTGCATCCAAATCTTGGTTATTGTGAATAATGCTGCAATGAACATAGGAGTGCATAAGTCTGTTTTTATTATTGATTTCAAGTTCTTTGGATAAATACCCAATAGCTGGGTCATATGGTGTTTCTATTTTTAATTTTTTGAGAAATCTCTATACTATTTTCCATAGTGGCTGCACCAGTTTACATTCCAGCCATCAGTGTATGAAGGTTCCCTTTTCTCCACGACATCTCCACGACATTTGTTATTTTTTAAAATTTTTATTTATTTATTTATTTTTTGAGGAAGATTAGCCCTGAGCTAACATCTGCTGCCAATCCTCCCCTTTTTGCTGAGGAAGACTGGCCCTGAGCTAACATCTGTGCCCATCTTCCTCTACTTTATATGTGGGACGCCCACCACAGCATGGCTTGCCAAGTGGTGCCATGTTCACACCCGGGATCCAAACCAGCGAACCCTGGGGTGCCGAAGCGGAATGTACGCACTTAACTGCGGTGCCACTGGGCCGCCCCCCTCCAACATTTGTTATTTTTTATCTCAGTGATTATAGCCATTCTAACAGGCCATAAGTGCTATGGCCATAAGTGATAAGCCATATCACTTAGGAGTGATATCTAAGTGTGGTTCTGATTTGTATTTCTCGGGTGACTAGTGATGTTGAACATCTTTTTAGGTGCCTGTTCGCCATCTGTATATTGTCTTTGGAAAAATGTCTGTTCATATCCTCTGCCCACTTTTGATCGGGTTGCTTTTCTTTTTGTAATTCAATTATGTGAGTTCTTTATATGTTATGGAGATTAACCCCTTGTCTGATATATAATTTGCAAATATTTTCTCCCTGTTGGTGGGTTGTCTTTTCATTTTGGTCCTGATTTCCTTTGCCTGGCAGAAGCTCTTTAGTCTGATGAAGTCCCATTTGTTTATTTTTTCTTTTGTTTCCCTCTTCTGAGTAGACATGGTATTTGAAAAGATCCTTTTAAGACTGATGTCAAAGACTGTACTGCCAGGGCCGGCCCCGTGGCTGAGTGGTTAAGTTGTATGCTCTGTTTCTGTGGCCTGGGTTTTTGCTGGGTCGGATCCTGGGCACACACATGGCACCACTCATCAAGCCGTGCTGTGGCGGCATCCCGCATAGCACAACCAGAAGGACTTACAACTAGAATATACAACTATATATTGGGAGGCTTTGGGAAGAAGAAGAAGAAGAAAAAGAAAAAGAAGATTGGCAACAGATGTTAGCTCAGGTGCCAATCTTAAAAAAAAAAAAAAGAGTGTACTGCTTATATTTTCTTCTAGAAGTTTTATGGTTTCAGGTCTTACCTTCAAGTCTTTCATCTATTTTGAATTTATTTTTGTGAATGGTGTAAGAGAATGGTCTACTTTTGTTCTTTTACATGTGGCTGTCCAGTTTTCCCAAACTGTTTATTGAAGAGACTTTCCTATCTCCATTGTATGTTCTTAGCTCCTTTGTCGAAGATTAGCTGTCTGTAGATGTGTGCTTTTATTTCTGAGCTTTTGATTCTGTTCCATTGATCTGTGTATATGTTTTTGTGCCAGTACCATGCTGTTTTGACTACTACAGCTTTGCAGGATATTTTGAAGTCAGGGATTGTGATGCCTCCAGCTTTGTTCTTTTTTCTCAGGATTGGTTTAGCTATTTGGGGTCTTTTGTTGTTCCATATGAGATTTAGGATTCTTTATTCTATTTCTGTGAAGAACCTCATTGGGGTTGCATTGAATATGTAGATTGCTTTAGGTAGTATGGACATTTTAACTATATTTATTCTTCCAATCCATGAGCATGGAATCTTTCCATTTCTTTTTTTTTTAAAGATTTTATTTTTTCCTTTTTTCTCCCCAAAGCCCCCTGGTATACAGTTTTATATTTTTAGTTGTGGGTCCTTCTAGTTGTGGCATGTGGGATGCCGCCTCAGCATGGCTTGATGAGTGGTGCCATGTCCGTGCCCAGGATCAGAATGGGTGAAACCTTGGGTTGCCGAAGCAGAGTGTGAACTTAACCACTTGGCCACTGGGCCAGCCCTCCATTTCTTTACATCTTCTTCCATTTCTTTCAATAATGTCTTATAGTTTTCAGTCATAGTCTTTCAGTATAGTTTCAATTATAGGTCTTTCACCTCCTTGGTTAAGTTTATACCTAGGTATTTTATTCTTTTTCTTGTGATTGTAAATGGGATGGTATTCTTGAGTTCTCTTCCTGCTAGTTAGTGCTTGTTAGTGTACAGAAATGCAACTGATGGGCTTCACTTGTCTGGGTCTGGAGCCTCGCGTGCGGCTCATGCTACAGGAGGCTGCTCCCGAAGTCGTTTGGCCTACAACTGTGCAGTCGAGCACCATCCCCTCACTACTTCGCGGCCGCCACATCCTTTGCGCTGCAGACCCCGGCAGTAGCAAGACTCTCAGCTACCTATTACCTCTGCTTCAACTGCTCTTGGGCCGGCCACACCTGGACTCCCAGTGTATCCCTGCTCCTCAATGCCTGGTCCTTGTGCCTTCGAGACAGTTAGCCGAACAGTTCCGTGCCGTGGCCCAGCCCTTGGGCAGCTCCCTGGGCCTCCAGGTGTGGGAGCTAGGGAGAGGCCATGGCAGGAGTAGGATCAAGCTGCCACTGTCCAAACAACCTCCAGCAGATGTACTAGTGGTCACTCCGGGAGCTCTGTGGAAGGCCCTGAAAAGACAGCTGATCAGCCTGGAGCCCCTCTCCCTCTTGGTGTTGGATGAGGCAGACACACTGCTGGATGAAAGCTTCCTGGAACTAGTGGACTACATCTTGGAGAAGAGCCATATAGCGGAAGGCCCAGCTGACTTAAAAGACCCCTTCAATCCCAAAGCTCAGTTAGTGCTGGTGGGGGCCACATTTCCCGAAGGTGTAAGCCAGCTGCTGAGTCAAGTTGCCAGCCGGACTCTCTAGCCACTATCACCAGTTCCAAGCTCCACTGTGTCACATCCCATGTCAGACAGACATTTATGAGGCTGAAGGGAGCAGAGAAGGTGACTGAGTTGGTACAGATCCTCAAGCAGCATGACAGAGCATATAGGATGGGCCCCTCAGGAAGCGTTCTGGTGTTCTGTAATAGCTCCAGCACTGTGAACTGCCTAGGCTATGTTCTAGATGACCACAAAATCCAACACCTCAGGCTGCAGGGACAAATGCCAGCCTCACTGAGGGCAGGTATCTTCCAGCGCTTCCAAAAGGGCTCCCGAGACACACTTCTCTGCACAGACATAGCTTCTCGGGGCTTGGACAGCACCCACGCGGAGCTGGGTACCAATTACGATTTCCCTCTCACCCTGCAAGACTGTAGCCACAGAGCGGGGAGGGTGGGCCGAGTGGGAAGCGACGTGCCAGGAACAGTCATTAGCTTTGTGACCCATCCCTGGGATGTGAGCCTGGTTCAGAAGATTGAGCTGGCAGCTCGCCGGAGGAGAAGCCTTCCAGGACTAGGGTCCTCGGTGAGAGAGCCTTTGCCCCAGCAAACCTGATTGCAGCTGGCTTAAATATGATGCCATAACAGAGATCTTTCCCTGTGCCCTGGGTGGGTGAGCAGACTTGTCATTAGGATGTGCTAGGCTGCCCAGTCACCTCCCCGAAGGCCTGGTAAGCTGCTGGCCAGCACGGGAGGGTGAACTTCTGAGCATGGCTCTCTGTAGTCTTTCACATGACTCATGAAAAATAAAGTAGATTTTGGCTTTGCCTTATATCATGATTTCTAACAATAAATGATGTTTTTATGGATCTCCCCTAATGATAGTTACCATTGGAGCAGAATTCATTGGATTCTGAGAAGATTCACACTCCAAACTATCACACCTAGGACAAAGGGTCTTTCAACTGATGGTTTTATTTGTAAACATTTAGGTTTTATTTCCTGCCCCTAAAACACCCATTAAGTTCCCAGGAAAAGGGAAAGGTGAAGTAACTAGCAGTAGGGAGAAATCTTCACCAGCAGTGCCCATGGCAGGTTTGGGCACTCTTGGTGAAATCTCTGAGAAGTACTGGCAGAAGAATACAAGGCAGACTGACGCAGAAGTGTGGCTGGCTGTGCATTTCCAGGCTCTGCCTTCTTTTCTGTCTCTTGGTGGCAGAGGAAGAGGAGAGGGGATTAAACTGTTTTACAGAACTGGCAAAATAAGTGTATAGCATCCTGTGACTTATAGGTTCCAGTCTCTGCTGCATGATATAAGTTTTGCCTAAAGTAATAAACAGTTGAGAGTCGAAATATAATACTCCACAAAACAACTTAAAAATACTTGCACACAGAAAATGATAAAGTTTCAGACAGCAGAAATGGGCCCAGGGCAGCCTTTGCCAAAAGAGAATATTGTACTAAATGTGCAATCATAGCTCTTTTCCATATGAAGAAACTGAAGCTCAGGGGGACAAAGAACTTACTCAAAATCAGACAAGTAGGTTGGACAGAATCTAGTCTTGTCTGCACCAAGGTTTGTATTCTTAACCACCATGCTAGCTTTTTTCAAATATGATACATGCACAGAATTATTCTACATCTGTATTTTCCTTGAATATTCCTTCTTTACATCTATGCCTGGGGCGGTTTTTAATACTGCCCACTTTGACTCTCAAAAGTGACCCAGTTTAGACAATAATTTGGTCACCCTATTTGGACCACTATGGTGGAATTGCCCAGGAGCATGTTAAAAGTGCAGATGTTTTTGGTGAGGGAGATTGGCCCTTAGCTAACATCTGTTGCCAATCTTCCTCCTTTTGCTTGAGAAAGATTGTTCCTGAGCTAACATCTCTGCCAGTCTTCCTCTATTTTGTATGTGGAATGCCGCCACAGCATGGTTTGATGAGCACTGTGTACATCCGCGGCCCTGGCAGATTTCCTAGCCCCCATCCCGATCTGGATAAGTTTTCTGAGGGTTGGCCCAAGAATCCATGTATGAGTATTTCTAAGTTGTTTTGTGTACTCCCCAGGTGAGTCTCAAACCCTCTTAAGTTGAGAAACCTTTTGTGTATGCTGTTCCACCTTCCCCAGAGACCCAGCCAGGTGCGGATAAAGTTTCAGTACCCCCACCAGAGCAGAGGGGTGCTCCTGGACAAGTAATCTCTCTGGAGCCTTGGAGAATCTGAGGGGTCTCATGCTGGCCCACCTGCCGGGATGAACCTCCTCCAGAGCCCTCCCCAAAAGCAGTCTGCTCTAATTAGGCCTGACTTCATCTGTCCTATCGTGTACCACACTGATCAGGCAACTTAGGAGTAGAGAGAAGTTGCTTCTCAACTGGGGTTGGCCAACCTCTGAAATAGTAGCCCGGGCAGTCTCTACCTCCTGGGCACATCCCCTCTGCAACAGCCCCAGTCAACAAATGTCCCATCTTTGCTTATTCAAGGTCAGCCACAAGGGCCCCTTCCTAAGGAAGGTTCTTATTGCTGGGAAGTTCTTGGTGACATTGTATCAAAGGCTGCCTGAAATATAGTTCCTTCCCATGGGCCTGATCAGGCTAAGAGCAGAGTTGTTTCTTTCTTCCTCCTCCGAGTAGGACCAGATCGGCTTGTAGTAACACCTTTTGACAGCGTTGATCAGGTTTTTCAGCTGGGCTGCTGCTGAGCCCACATCTCTTCCTTTCATGCTGATGGGATTATCATTGTTTGCCCTGTTGGAGGAGAGAGGAGTGTAATGATTAGGTTGTCACTCTGGTTTTTTTTTTTTTTTGAGGAAGATTAGCCCTGAGCTAACTACTGCCAATCTTCCTCTTTTTGCTGAGGAAGACTGGCCCTGAGCTAACATCCATGCCCATCTTCCTCTTATACGTGGGACGCCTACCACAGCATGGTTTTTGTCAAGCGGTGCCATGTCCGCACCCAGGATTCGAACCAGCGAACCCCAGCCTGCTGAGAAGCGGAATGTGCGAACTTAACAGCTGCACCACCAGGCCGGCCCATGTGTTGTCATTCTGTATGATGTCATTTTGTCATGAATTTGTTTTGAATTTCATGTTTAAAAGGGCCCATCTTTCCCACTTTGCGATGTCATTCAGGACCGTCATTTTGCCTTGGGCACCTTTAACATCTCTCCCAGTGTCCCTGGAATGTGATGAGCTTGTCCTCATGTTTCTGTCAGCCGCAAATCCGGAGTCCCAACATGGAGCCCTGTCATGGAGCAGAACACCTCTCCACTACCTGGGTAGCCTTGGGTAGACCCCTTAACTTCTCGGGTTTTGGAGTCCTCAGTTGTGAAAATGTGAAGGTTCTATGAATTTACACTTGAAGCAGGACAAGATCAGGAAGAGCTCGTCTTTGCTTTTATTCTTCCCACCTGGAATATCTTCCCTCCTCTCCATGGGTCCAAATCTCACTTGTCTTTCAGGCCCACCATCCAGGTGCCTTCTCTCATTTCCAATCCACACAAATCTCTGCCTCTCCAGCTGTTGAATACTTAGGGTCAGTGACATACAACCTGGCTGTCTCTTAAGCTAATCTTGCCTCTCCATCCAGTCTCAGAATATGGGTTTTTTTTGCCCTCCTGTGGTCCCTGAGGCTGTGCCAGCCCACAAGTATCCTCCACAGGGAGTGGCTACTTGACTAGGGCATGAGTGGGGAGGGCCAGGTGTGAGGGCCCGGGCAGGATGCCTCTCTGCCTCAACCTTACTCTCCTCTACAAAACCTCAGGAACCTGAAGCCTGCCCCTCAAGTCACAGATTCCTTATGTGACCTCACTGGGTAGTGATGACCTCACAAACCTCACAGTTTCCATGGCAGGATAACCACGCAAACGTGGTGCTCTTAGGGAAACTTCTCGACTAGTTCTCTACCAGATACTGATCTGTTAGGTTGCCTGAGAGAGAATGTCTGACTGGATCTTCTATATTAACTCGAACTTGTCTTCTGTCCCCTGGGAGGGCAACGGAGCAGGTAAGCCTAGTGCGGGCATCTGTGTAAGAGGCATTGGTATACACACAACCTCACCTGGCTGCCACATGTTCCTTTTGGGCTTGCCCACCACATCTCAGAACATCCCCAGCTGTAAGTAATGCCAGTGGCCCAGGGCCCCCTCAGGGGCCCACAGTGTTCCTGCTCACTGCTGAGAACCAGTGAAACATCACCCTTGGGCAAGTGTTCAGAAAGGTTTACAAAGGTAGCCTTCCCCTTTGGGCTACAAGATGCTTCCATTCAGACCCTTTCCTGATTGGCCTCTTGGCAAAAGTGCATTTTTGTTAGAAAGTGATAAATGAAGCGGTTTGAGGAAGAGCTGTAGAAGGCCACTCTTGACCCTGACCCTGACCCTCACCTTCCAGCCCAGGCACCTTCACTGTGCTGTGATGTAGACATCCACGTGAGTCCCCTCAGATACATCCCAGACTGAGCTGCTGAGTAGTGGGGGAAAGAGTGATGTCATATTGATGGGAAGAACAGAGGAGGCAAGGGGAGGGATGAAGTGATTCTGAGCCTGGAGGGCTGAGGAAATGGTGCCCCAGGAGGTTGGGCTGATGTGAGCCTAGACTTGGTTCCCAGATTCTGGCTTTCATCCTCCTGGTCACTCTTGTCTCAGTAGCTGGCCTTTCTTCTAACATAGATAAAAGTATCAGAGGGCTAGAGTTCATTGTGGTTGAAACAGGTGGAATGAACGAGGCCCAAGAGGAGTTGCCAAGGTGAAAGGGGTTCTTAACCAATTTAGATTAGATTATTTTCTCCAAAACTTGAAAGGCAATTCCATTAACGCCTCAGAAGTGACAGAGCTTAAGAAATGTTTTCTCTATTGTGAAAGGAGAGATGGAGGGGATCCTGATTGCAATTATTTCGGGTTCTACAGTTTTCTCTGGAAATGGGGAAGAGATTTCCTGGTCTGCTGCTGCCGTAGGCTCCAGGGAATTGCTTTTGCCGCCAACATCCCTTCTCTAGGGGACTCAGAGGTGATGGGTCAAGGCTGTGATGTGGATGCCAAGCAGATGAAAGGGCTTTCAACCAGAAGCTGAGAGAGACGTGAGAGAGGGGAGGTCCTGGCAGGACACTGTGTCCAGCAGAAGTGACTGATCAGTTGTGATTTTCTGTCCAGCAGCAGTGGCTCCCACTACTCCTCCTACACCTTGTCTATACCATGTCCTCTACCGAGGGTGTGGAGAAACCCAGATGGGCTGGCATGGAGAGACATACTGCCTGGTTGGTGGCTGCCGGGCCTATGGGGATGCTCCTGTGGCCACCCCAGCAAAGGTGGAAGCAGAGAAGCCAGTTCCCAGGCGGGGGCTCAAGAGACCTCGAGCTGTGGCAGAGCCAGACGAAGACCTAGGCTGCCCCAAAACCAAAATTCGGCGATTGCAGCACGGTGGCAGGAGGCAGACCCTGTGGAAGCTCGCTGGCTGAGCCATTCTGTAGAGAGGGCAAACATTTAACAGCCTGAGACATCTAATGCTTCTTCCTGCAGTGAACCCCACCACCCACCATTGGAGGTTAGAAGCTGAGCCATTCTGTCTGAGCCTTTCTCCTCCAGGAGCCTCCTTCCATACTAACTGGCCCTGGGCAAGGAGCCTCAGCAACTGAGGTTTGAAATGAGAGGCTGCTCTGAGCATCCCAGGACTGAAGCTGGCCTGGAAGAAAACCTGCTGTTCCTCTGCTCCATCCTCTAGAGTCCCTTCTTGGGCAGAAGAAAGAAAAGTGTGCACTCTGAGTTGAGGAGGATGCAGCAGCAGAGAGACTGTGCAGGGCAGCTTTATCAGGGGCCCAGTCTACCAGATGGACTCCTGCTTGAGTCGTTGCCAGCAGCTACCAGCACAAACCAGAAGGAGCTGGGCTTTTTGAATCTGCAAGAAGCAATCTGTGGCTACCCAGGGAGCCTCCGACCTGGGGTCTCAGGAGGCAGAATAAAGAGACCCAGGAAAACCCGCTCCCTGGAGCAGGAACAGGATGAAGAGGCAAGCAGCATCCCCCCTGAGGCTCACATGCTCCTTTATTCCCAGCCCTTTCTGGCCCCAGTGTTCAATAAAATGATTTTCTGTAACAGTGTGTGACTTGAAATCCAGCTTGTCCAAGGCCAGGCCCCAAACCTCCTGTTCCCTTCAAGTGCATTCCCACATGTGGTACCTGGTCCTCTAAGACCTTCTGCCTCCAAAAAGGGCCCTTGGGTATGGCTGCTCACTATGTGGCTATGTAAATTGGGGCAGGGCTCAGGCAGGTTCTTTAAGAAATGCAGATGAGTACTTCCTGATGAGTACTTCCCTCTGGATGTGCAAGTGTGTGTGTGAAAGGAGAGGAGAGGCAGGACTGAGAAGATTCTGTTACATCTACCAATCCACCCATCCATCCATCCATTTATTTGACAAATATTTATTGAGCAGCTGTTACCTAACAGCCACTGTGCTGGTGTCTTGGGATATTTCAGTGAATGAGACGATCAAAGCCCTTCTCCTCAAGGCACCCACAAACTAAAGGAAGAAACAAGTGAACAATATAATTTCAAGTAATTATAATTGCTAGAAAGAAAAGTAAAATAGGATAAGAGGATAGAGTGAGGAAGGGGTGCTGTAGTACACAAGGTAGTCAGGAAAGGCTTCTCTGAGGAGGTGACATTTCAGTGGAGATGTGAGTGAGGGAGTCATGTGAGGAGCTGGAGGAAGAGTATTCCTGGAGGAGGAAACGGCAAGTGCAAAGACACTGAGGTAGGAATGAGGCTGGCCTGTTCTAGGACCAGCAGTGGAGCTGGCGAGGAAAGATAGAGAAGGATGAAAGATGTGGTTGGAGAAGTAGGCGTGGGCTGGACCATAGCAGGCCTTGTCGGCTATGGTGAGGAGAGCATCCTGTCTTAAAAGTGACGGGAAGTCATGGGAGGGATTTGAACAGGGTAGTGAAGCGATCTGATGTAGATGCTAAATAGCTCACTGAGTGCTGTGTGCCACGGGAATAAGCTGCTGGCTGTTCCCAGTGGAATGCCTCTCTCAGCAGGTAAGGGGACAGTTGTTCCTGGGGAGTCGGGGTGGGAGAAAATCAGCAGAGAGGAAAGAGCACAGTGTTTGGGCCTGTATCCCAGGCTCATCTGCCTCATCAGCCCAGAACAGAAGGGGGCACTGTCAGCAGCTGGTAGCCCTCAGGCCCAGGTGAAGTCACACACCCTGTGGACAGCACCCTTTTTCTCAGGGCCACAGCAGCAAGACCGTGGCTCCTTCCCCCGACACACACCCTCAAGGCCAGAGAAAGTGCTGGTAACTTAAGAAGTTTCCCTAACCTGGGTTAGAGGAGGGACACACAGGCCCTGGGGTTTCCAGAAAGTTCCCTCTGTGAGTCTCAGTTAACCCAGAAAAGTCCGCTAATGCCTCTTTGTAGTGACCCCCACTGCCCACTGGAAATTAGAACCTCAGAATCTCTCTCTGAGACTTGGTGTGACTGAGGCAGAATTGGGGTTACTGGGGGAGTCAGATAGGTTGGCAAATCCCAAACATGACGCAAACAGACTCACCTGGGCTCTTAGGACACATAGAGATCCCCAGCACCCACACCAGTCCTGCTGAATACATTTTTAGGGTGGAGTCTGGAAATCTGCAGGTTTCTTCTTATTTGAAAAGTTTATTTACCCACGTATTTCATGATCCTTCAATCAGCTCTCTAGAGAACAACTTTTCCTCTCTCTCAGAATCTGGTATTCCACGTTCTTTTTTTTGTTTGTTTAACTCTTTTATTTTTTTATTTTTGAAAATTATATTATTGAAGTCATAATGGTTTATAACATTTTGTAATTTCAGATGTACATTATTGTTTATCAGTTTTTGTATAGACTGCATCATGCTCACCACCAACAGTCTAATTTTTATCCATCACCATATCATATGTGCCCCTTTACTCCTTAAACCCACCTCCTAAACCCCTTTCCCTCTGGTAACCACTAATCTTTTCTCTTTATCCTTGTTTTGTTTATCTTCCACACATGAGGGAAATCATGCAGTGTTTGTCTTTCTCCATCTGGCTTATTTTGCTCAACATAATAGGCTCAAGGTCCATCATGTTCTTACAAATGGGATGATTTTGTCTTTTTTATGGCTCAGTAGTATTCCTTTGTATATATGTACCACATCTTCTTTATTTATCATTTAAGGGGCGCTGGGGTTGCTTCCACATCTCAGCTATTTGAATAATGCTGTAGTGAACATAGGGCTTCATAAATCTCTTTGAATTGTTGATGTCAAGTTCTTTGGATAAATACCCAGTAGTGGGATAGCTTGATTTTATGGTATTTCTATTTTTAATTTTTTTGAGAAATCTCCATACTGTTTTCCATAATGGCTGCACCAGTTTGCATTCTCAGCAGCAGTGTGTGAGGGTTCCCTTTTCTCCACATCCTCTCCAGCATTTGCTATTTTTTGTGTTGGTAATTATAGCCATTCTCATTGTAGTCTTGACTTACATTTCCCTAATAATTAGTGATGTTGAACATCTTTTCATGTGCCTCTTGGCCATCTCTATACCCTCTTTGGAAAAATGTCTGTTTATATCCTCTGCCCATTTTTTGATGGAGTTGTTTGTTTTTTTGTTGTTGATTTGTATGAGTTCTTTATGTATTTTGAAGATTAACTCCTTGTTGGATATATGATTTGCAAATATTTTCTCTCAGTTGATGGAATGTCTTTTCGTTTTATTTGTGGTTTCCTTTTCCTTGCAGAAGCTCCTTAGTCTGATGTAGTCCCATTTGTTTATTTTTTCTTTTGTTTTCCTTGCCTAAGTAGACATGGTATTCGAAATGATGCTGCTAAGACTCATGTCAAAGAGTGTACTGCCTATATCTTCTTCTAGGAGTTTTATGGTTTCAGGTCTTACATTCAAATCTTTAATCCATTTTGAGTTAATTTTTGTGTATGTATGGTGTGAGATAATGGTCTACTTTTGTTCTTTTGCATGTGGCTGTCCAGTTTTCCCAAACTGTTTATTGAAGAGACCTTCCTTCCTCTTTGTATATTTTTAACTCCTTTCTTGAAGATTAGCTGTCCGTAGATGTCTGGTTTTATTTCTGGGCTTTCAATTCTGTTCCGTTCATCTGTCTGTCTCTCTTTGTGCCAGTACCACACTGTTTTGACTACTATAGCTTTGTAGTATATTTTGAAGTCAGGGATTGTGATGCCTCCAGCTTTGTTCTTTTTTCTCAGGATTGCTTTAGCTATTCGGGCTCTTTTGTTGTTCCATGTGAGATATAGGATTCTTTGTTCTATTTCCGTGAAGAATGTCATTGGGATTCTGATTGCGATTGCATTGAATATGTAGATTGCTTTAGGTTGTATGGACATTTTAACTATGTTGATTCTTCCAAATCATGTGCATGTAATATCTTTCCATTTCTTTATGTCATTATCGATTTCTTTCAGTAATGTCTTATAGTTTTCACTGTATAGGTCTTTCGCCTCGTTGGTTAAATTTATTCCTAGATATTTTATTCTTTTTGTTGTGATTGTAAATGGGATTGTATTCTTGAGTTCTCTTTTTGTTCATTCATTATTGGAGAGTAGAAATACAGCTGAGTTTTGCACGTTAATTTTATACCCTGCAACTTTGCTGTAGTTGTTGATAATTTCTGATAGTTTTCCAATGGCTTCTTTAGGGTTTTTTATATATAAAATCATTTGTCTGCAAACAGCAAGAGTTTCACGTCTTCATTGCCTATTTGGATTCCTACTATTTCTTTTTCTTGCCTAACTGCTCTGGCCAAAACCTCCAGTACTGTGTTGAATAAGAGTGGTGGGAGTGGGCATCCTTGTCTTGTTCGTCTTCTCAGAGGTGTGGCTTTTAGTTTTTCCCCATTGAGTATGATGTTGGATGTGGGTTTGACGTATATGGCCTTTATTAATGTTGAGGCACTTTCCTTCTATACCCATTTTATTGAGAGTTTTTATCATAAATGGATGTTGGATCTTATCAAATGCTCTCTCTGTGTCTATTGAGATGATCATGTGGTTTTTATTCCTCAATTCATTAATGTGTGTATCACATTGATTGATTTGCAAATGTTGAACCATCCCTGTGTCCCTGGTATAAATCTCACTTGATCATGTAGATGATCTTTTTAAGGTATTGCTGTGTTCAGTTAGCCAATATTTTGTTGAGGATTTTTGCATCTATGTTCATCAGCGATATTGGCCTGTAATTTTTCTTCTTTGTGTTGTTCTTGTCTGGCTTTGGTATCGGGTGATGTTGGCCTTGTAGAATGTGTTAGGAAGTATTCTGTCTTCCTCAATTTTTTGGAATAGTTTGAGAAGGATAGGTAGTAAATCTTCTTTGAATGTTTGGTGGAATTCTCCAGAGAAGCTGTCTGGTCCTGGACTTTTATTTTTTGGGAGGTTTTTGATTACTGTTTCAATCTCTTTACTTGTGATTGGTCTATTCAGATTCTCTATTTCTTCTTTTCTTTTTGAGGAAGATTAGCCCTGAGCTAACATCTGCTGCCAATCCTCCTCTTTTTGCTGAGGAAGACTGGCCCAGAGCTAACATCCGGGCCCATCTTCCTCTACTTTATATGTGGGATGCCTGCCACAGCATGGCTTGCCAAGTGGTGCCATGTCTGCACCCGGGATCCAAACCAGTGAACCCCGGGCCGCCGAAGCGGAACATGCGAACTTAAATGCTGCACCACTAGGCCAGCTCCTCTATTTCTTCTTGATTAAGTTTTGGGAGCTTGTAAGAGTCTAAGAATTTATCCATTTCATCTACTATTTTGCTTTTTTTTTTTCTCCCCAAATCCCCCAAGTACGGAGTTGTAGGTCCTTCTAGTTGTGGCATGTGGGATGCCACCTCAACGTGGCCTAGTGAGCAGTGCCGTGTCTGTGCCCAGGATCCGAACTGGCGAAACCCTGGGCCGCCAAAGCGGAGCACGCGAACTTAACCACTCAGCCACAGGGCCAACCCCTATCCATTTCTTCTAGATTGTCCAATTTGTTGGCATGTAGCTTTTCATAGTATTCTCTTGTAATCTTTTGTATTTCTGTGGTATCCATTGTAATTTCTCCTCGTTCACTTCTAATTTTATTTATTGAGCCTTCTTTCTTTTTTTTCTTAGCGAGCCTGGCCAAGGGTTTGTCAATTTTATTTATCTTCTCAAAGAACCTGCTCTTTATTTCATTGATCCTTCCTACTGTCTTTTTTGTTTCCATTTCATTTATTCCCTCTTTCTGCTGAGTTTGGGCTTTGTTTATTCTTTTCC